ATACACTCGCAAACAACCAGGTATTCAAGCACTACGATAATTTGGTGTAAGTTTTATTCCAGATCAATGTAATGCATATAAATCCCGCTATCGTTCATTGGATGGCCACTGAAGCCATTGTGGATGATAATAAACTTCCGCATCTGCGAAGTGTACTATGTGCCGGCGCCCCAATTGACTCAAATTTGGCTAATACTATGAAGTCGAGATTGAGCCTAAAGGATTTTAGACAATGTAAGATTCAACAGAGACTTAGAAACTCAAATTAGATTTTCAGCTTTTTGAATAGACAATACCTATGTCGTCCATATGAGGCGCCGCGCCAACGCATATACCATGCGCAGTCGTTACCCTGTGTAGTATTTTATTGGCTTCTATTGCACGCCCACAAAGCTAATAATACCAGAACACAATCGTAAAACCAAAAATCAATCAACTTCGACAAACATTTTCTCGGTTTCATTAAAAGATATCACACAATTTTTATGGCTAAAATGTTTGTCTTGATGTCAGAAACATTGTTTAGTTGAAAAAATTTTGATATCTACAACGCAAAACGAGATAATTCAGATGAAAGAGATGCTCTTTTTGAAGAGTTTCACGGATTTCAAAAGTGAAATATCTAGTGGCATTTAAACGTGACGAGAAAAAGTTTATTGAAATCCGTGTGGCGAAAAAGTTTTGGAAAAAATTAAATTCTAGAACAGAAAAATCACGTGAATCGGTTTAGAAACCCACGACCCTAGATGCCGCATTGACCTCAGGGAGAGTGATATAAAGGAAGATGGAAGAGGGGGGGGGGGACAAATCAGTTCTCCCCTTCTCTGGGCTCCGGTAGCCGGAGCCGGAACCGTGGAGCCCGGTAGCCGAAGGCGGAGCCGGTGCCGGAGCCGGAGCCGGGTCATAATTTTTCCTAATTTATTTTTGGGTCACGACCTAGATATTTGGTGCCATGACTTAGTTTTTTTAGGTCATTACCTAATTTTTTCAATTTTTTTCTAGGTCGTGGTCTACTTTTTTTGGTTACTAAGGATCAAATTCCAATTTATCTCATGAGCTACATATAGGCACAATGAAACGGATATAATTTTCAGAGTGGTCTCAAAACGGTTTACGAGCCAGGAGTGCATATGATCTCGATCAGTTTGGGACTCACCAACGTCATCGCCGCCTACTTCTTCCTCCAAGAAACCAAGAATTGCAGTTTGGACAAGGCCGGAACTACCGCTGCTAAGCCGGCAGAGAAAGCGTAAGTTCAATTTTTAGATGTTTTAGGCTGTATTTGAGGTTACGCTAAGTTTGAGCTCACTTATCTAAATTTCTGTGAGAGATATCAAAAATTTGTCAACTGATAAAATGTTAAGGATATTATGAAAAAAATTGTATCAGTTGACAAATTTTTGATATCTCTTATAAGAAGCGAGATAGCTGAGCTCCAACCGTCTGAGTTCTGATCCTAAAAGTGGTTCAAGAAATCAAAAATTTTCTAAATCAAGTTAAAATACTGTAAAAGTCAAATCCCAAAAAAACATAATATTTTCAGAAACGAGCAAGAGATGACGGATCTCATCGACCGTTCCATTCAAAACGAGGATCTCGAGAAGAAATAGAAAGTGAATCTAAATAGAACTCATTTTTTCTCATTTTTATCGATTCGATTTTCTCCCCAAATCTTTCAGTATTCTTTGTTTTTGACCACTTTATTCCATCTTGTTTCAGTTTTCCACTCCCGCGAGGCATCTTTTTTTTCTAATAGCATAATCACAAAATCCAGTACCTCGTTTTCTCATTCCCCCGTTCTTCTACTGATTCTTTTAATCTTTGTGAAACGTTTTTGGAAGTTTAATAAATACTTTTAATCGGAATTCGAATTTGAAGTGATATAATTAATATTGAATTGAATTTTTTCGAAGAAATCTAGAGTTTCAGAAATCGCAAAAAAAGGAATAAACCAGAATAGAAATGTGGAATTTCTGAGAAAAAGATGATGATTCTGGAGATTTGAAATAGAAAAAGTGAGAAAATGGCTGAAAACATCTTACATAATTTTTATGTAAACTATTCCAATATCGCTCTAAAACAGTAACTTGAAGAGCGGTAAAAAATATCAGAATGGAGAAACGGTACAATTTTGAAGTTGTTTTGATTTTCTAAAAAACCATTCACAAGTCCTTGGACACCAAAATAGTGTTTTTTTTT